CCTTGACAGTATTATAGCCTAGGAATCCGAGGAGCGGATAGTATACTGCAGCCAAAATCAATTAAAGTTACTCATTACCGTTCGGTATATACAAAAATGAAGGCCAAACCAACAGCTATGGAAAATTCATTACCGGGATCAAACTTGACAGTAGTAACTCCGGGAGATAATCCAGCCGCCTCAAGTTTTGAATCTACAACAAGCTTACGATAATCTCGGACTTCCTTCTTCAAACCAGCAAGTGTGATTAATTTCCCACCGAACTCAGGACTCAATCTCGGTTCCGTTTGTTTAGTTTCTTTTTCTACAAAGAGCAAAAGTTCCGACCTGTTAGTACACAGAACAAGGCAAAATCAGAAAGGTGTATCCAAATCACAAAATAAAAAAGACTCACTTGCTCCAGAATGAATGAACATTGGAATCGTCATCCCATCAATCCGATGTTCATGAAAAAAGCTCTCAGACTGCCACTCCCCTCCAATCCACAACCACTCTTCCTGGAATCCATGAAGAGTTTCTGGGATGTCGGTTATTATGTCACCGACTTTTAAGCCATGTTGCGGCTTCGCTCCGGCAAAGAAACAGCATGAAGACTCCGCAACGTGTCTCTTCGGACTTTTCTTAAAGGCGAAGATGCTCGTTATTTCCTCACACGATGGCAACCCATCGCCCTGCTCGTGTAGCAACACCATTAGACCAATTATTTTCTTCCAACTATTGGGTGTGATCTGGCACAGCGGTAATCCCCAACTCCGAAGGTATTCAGTGATCAAGCTCGGTAAGGGAAACCTCAGTCCCGACCTCAAACTTTTAACAAAAACACCTACACACCCCGGAGGAGGACTAGTTATTCTCTCCCCCGGATATGGAGCAAAAATTTTTACCGAGGGTGGAATCCGAATCTGCTCCCGCAGCATCACCACATCCGCATCGGTTAGGATGCTGGGCTCACCTTCGAAGTCGATTGCAGGATCAGGCCACTTCTTCACCGGTCTCCTCCAGTGGGGTACCACAAGATCAGCCGCGTTCTCCTCCACTACCCGATCGCCGTCTTCATCATCGGGCTTAATATCCAAATGCCCTACCAACATCGGATCCCACCGATGATACTCAAAAGCCAATTCAACCAACTGAGAGTCGTGATACACATCAAAGGCACCGACTCAGTACTAGAAGAACTCGCCACTGCCTTCCCCTTCCCTTTCGGCGCCATTGCGTACAGACCAAACAAAAATACACAAGAAATGAACAAAGAATCGGAAAAAGAACTCACCGAAGGATTTGCAGACACACAGTGAACAAGAAACGACTCTCGAACTCAAAAGAATTTCCTCAAACAAGATTATCGGATGCAAAGGTCTAGGAATGAAAGCGCAGGTGAAGAAAATTCGATCAAATATCACGAAACCCTATTTATAATTGTCAATTTTATGACCGTTGAGGACCTTAATTAGGGGTCGCGTCGGTAATCCTAACCGACGCCACCTCTTCACCTGAAAAGACACCTACTATTACACGTGGCAACCTATTAAAGTCGACCGTTATCTCATTTAAGATCATTACGGCGCGACTGTTCAGTCTCTGCAATAAATCGTTGACCGTTACGACTCTTCACCTTTTTTCTGTTACGACTACCTGAAAATTATTCGAAATTCACCAAGTGTCTTCACCTCGGAATACAACCTGCACCTCGGACAAATAACTCACCTCGGTTACCTCGGTTACGTCGGGCAAGAGACCAAAGACGACCCTTCGAAGGCAACAAACACCCGGCCACTGACTTTTTACCGATCCGGGGCCTCTAAATGTCTGGCATGGCAACATCGACGACCATCACTCCGTATGCCCACCGATATTGGGGGCCTCTCTGTTATCATCCGACTCGGTAAAACACCATTAAGAGATTCCAAACATCACATTAAGAGGAAGATGACCATTGAACCGACGTGAATTTAACACCACCCCGGTCCAGGCGATGAACCGGACCGAATTACCGAAGACCGAAGTGGTCAGCACCTACCGAGGTCTACTCGAACCGAGATCGCCACCTCCTTAAGCAGGTGACAAGGCGCCTACGTGCAGCCATCCCGCTCCACAAAATCCGTCATCATTTACATGGGACCCACTGCTCCAAACCGCCCACAAAAAGCTACTTTACCCAAAAAGTAGTACACGGATCCCAATGTATCTACCAAAAATTACTATAAATAGTGAACCCATAACATTTGTAGGGGGGTCTCTCTCCGAACTGAAAAACTTACTTTATTAAGCAACACGTAAAAGCCCATCACGGCTTTTCACCTCGGTTCACCTCGGACCGAGGCCATCATTGAAGTTACTTTACATGCTTTACGTTCAAGTCCTTCATAATTCTCATCTTAATTACGTATTACATCGTTGTTAAAAATCACATAACAACACAAAAATCAAGCTAGAAAAATCACAAGGTACATGGCGAGACCGGGGAATAAGCAGAAGGCTCCACTTCGACGCCTCAAATATTCTCGCGCAGGCTGCTGGAGCTGTGGAGCCGTCAACTGCTTCTTGAGCGCAACGTGCGGGGGAAGGGGGCGCGTGAGAGCCACTCCCGTCGCTGGCAATTGAGCTGATGGTGGAGAGTCACCGGCGGCGCTCCACGGGAAGAGGGCAGGGGGGTTAGGGTCTATGGGGCCGATGGGGAAGAGTCCAAATTGGTATTCCAAATTAAATTGGATTTCTAGTTTGATAAAAAGGCAAGATTTTATTTTTAAATTTCAAAAAAAATGATTCTAACAGAATCGTTCAAATAAGTTGGATAATGTATATCTTGATAGTAAATCCCTTCATATAAGGGATTTTTTGTTTCTTTAAATCCTATCCAAAAAAAAGTTGCCATAAGTAGAAAACATTTAATGAAGAAAGAGATTTGACCAAAAATTTAGTTGCTATTTTTAAAAAATGGTAAATCTGTTTATATATATATAGATATAGATTTAATTATTTATTATTTGTTTTATTATTTTTTGGTTAATTGTTTCCTTGTAGTTGTGCAGCCATTTTTTCTCTGTGCTTTGCTCAAACTTAACATTATCATGTACAATGTCAACTTTTAGTTTTGTATGAACAAAAAAAAAAAAAAGGAAAATCTTTGAAGATGAATAGTGTAATATAATATTAACTGGTTGAAGTGTATAGAAGGTTGTATTATACAAATTATATTATATGCAATGAAAAATGTAGGATGCAGTTCAAATATGAACCGAGTCGTATGTATTGCAAGAACGCGAGAATGCTTGTTTTGTGTATAATGATAATTTTTTTATATTATGTTTCATGATATTATTAATTGTAACTTTTTTAAGAAACAATAAAATTGCATATGTACATTGTATATTTGCTTTAAATTTATAGCATTACTAGTAGCATTAAAATGATAATAAAAATCTCATGCATATCAATTAGAAATAAAATCATAAATGATTCTCACGGTTTCCACACTAGTGACCATTCGATTGAGAACAAAGGTAATTAAATGCACATTTGATATATGGAAATCAAGAACTTAACTAGAATCTAGGTTAACAATTTCATAATTAATTTTGATAGATAGCAAGATTTTATTTTATAACGAGGCTAAATTTCAAGGTGGTTTTGTGATTGATGCAAAAGAAAATGTCAAAATGCACCAAATATATCTTTCTTGGGCTTACTCTTTTATTAAAAAATGTTGTACTTTTTAAAAAACAACATAAATAAAATATATATTATTATTTGTTTTGGTACAGGATTTTCCAGTTTCCGGATCCACAGGGGAGCCGACTAATCCGGAATCGAGCCGGGTAGGACCACAAGGCGGCAAAGCTCTCCCTCGAGAGTTTTAACATTGCTGCATTCCCAGAACTTGAACACGAGACCTGGTTAAGCTGGAAGAGCCAAGTCATCTCATCAAAGCCGGGTAATAAAACATAAATAATGACTATGTATGAATTATTGTGTTCAAAATTTTGTGCTTTACTATTTTAAGAAAAAAAGTTTTAAACTTTAACCGATGCAAAAACGTTGGAACACGAGATACGTTTTTGGAGCCTCAATGAAATGCTCTCTCTCCAAGAATTTCAATCAAACACTCTGGGAAGTGTTATCTGAAGTCCCATAAAGATATTTGTTAGAATATCACTTGTGAGTTGTCCAATATCGTTCACACATAGAAAATAGACTCACCTTATAAGTGTAATGGGCTACTCCTCCTTCCACCAATTGGTTTTGGGATGGAATCCCATTTGGGCTTCCCTGATTTGGTGTGCTTCGTCCGTAGGACCGCACCCGTCAACCCACGTTTGTCATGGTATCAGAGCCAGTTCACCCAGCCCAGTTGGGCTTGGGACTTCGTGGGACCGTACAATGACGTGCCCGTCACCCAGCCCAATTGGACTTGGGCTTCCGAAGGACTCACAAGTGAGGGGGGATGTTAGAATACACACTTGTGAGTTGTCCCACATCGTCTATACAGGGAAAATAGGCCTAACTTATAAGCCTAGTGGGCTACTCCTCCTACCACCAATTGGTTTTGGGATGGAAACCCATTGGGCTTCATTTGAGTTTTTCCGCTTTGGTGCGCTTCATGTGAGTGGGCCCGCACCGTTTTCCCCAGTTTCTTACATGGTATCAGAGTCATTTTGTCTCTGGGTTAGAGACATGATATCAGAGCCCGACCGACTTTGTGTCTGGGTTATAGACATGATATCAGAGCCCACTTTGTGCTTGGGTTAGAGACATGATATCAGATTCACAAGTGAGGGGCGTGTTAGAATATCACTTGTGAGTTGTCCCACATCGTTCACACATAGAAAATAGACCCACCTTATAAGTGTAATGGGCTACTGCTCCTTCCACCAATTGGTTTTGGGATGGAACCCCACTTGGGCTTCTTTTCTTTTTCCCCCAATTTCTTACAATATTATTATCTATTCATCAATGGATAAGCCATTGCTGTAGTAATCGAAGGTGGAGGAGCACCCGAGATGCGTCTCTACACGCGCCTCCGCGCATCACCGTCTCCGCCGCCTATCCGTTTCTCTCTCGGCCCTCGGTCAAATTTAGTGCATTTGAACTTCCCCAATAATTTCTTGCCTAGTTATGGCAAGCCCATCCCCAGAACTTCGTTTTACTGTAATGGGCTCCGGCCATTTTCGCATACTTACAGCGCAACAGGTTTTCGTTTGCTCGTTAGTCGTTATCTTCCCCAATTGCTTAGCTTCGGTTGTGTATTGCCCTAAAGCTTACATCTTTTCCCTTAGCTCTGGTTATATTGCTCTAAAATTGAAGTGTTTGTTCTTAACTCTGGTTTTATTGCTCTAAAAGTGAAATCTTTGTTCTTAACTATGGTTATATTGCTCTAAAAGTGAAATCTTCTTACTTTTTGTTAATTTTCTAGGTGTAAGCTGATCTGGATGTGGCAGAGGAAGAGAATACTGATAAACTGAGAAGAAATCTTGAGGCTGTGGGATTAAATGCTGATTGTTGTAGGCCTGGACAATATGATATTGTGTATTGTCCCAAGGTATTTGTTTTATGTTGAACATTCTTGCTTTATGCTGTGCAATTCGGTGCAATTGATTCTTAAAAAGCTCAAGTTTTTGTACAACTTACAAAACTCGGGGAGGATTGAATAAAAAAGATGGGCACTTGGGCATCTGCAGTTAGCTCTTTATTCACTTTCAGAATGTATATGATTTAATGTTTATGGATTTATAGATTTATGGGTTGTTTTCTTGTTGAATTGGGTCAGTGCAAAGGTGGGCAGCCTATACATAGAAGTCTCTCGGTTTACATAAGTCAAAATTGGTGAGTGATGTTCTTTTTTTTTTTTTTTCTCCCTTAATTTAATTTCATGTATTGATATCATATATCAGGAGTTATGCAATTTGGAGGTGTTTTTATCTACAATGTGGATGGGCGGGCAAGGTGCCCTGACATAAGGGTTTAAATTATTACTATACCATCTCGTTTGAACCTTAAAAGTTCTATTCCTTTCCGTGTTAAAAGATAACGTTTAACTGTAGGTTTTTGCTGATACCAAAAAAGCTAACCCGGGGGAGAGTATAAAGCTAGAGAAGCTGAGTGATGAAGTACCATTTTATTACTACTTTTTTATTAGCAAATATTTTTCTTACCTCTTTTTGACCATTCGCGTGTATGACTCACAATCGAACACATATTTAGCTGATTTAGAGATAAGTTCCATGTCTTATGGTTTTGACAAAACATATTTGCTTCATTTTTTTCTGATATGAACCCTTTTGCAATAATTGTAAGCTCTGTGTTTTTCTCTATTGGTTTTTTCAGTTGCTTGCATATTTTGCCGAAAGGATGATTTTAAAGGGAACACTGGGAAGATATAATGTTATGCAAGTCGAGGATTGGGTGAGAAAGAATGCACCTACATTTTGAGTTATCGATTAGTCAATAGTATTTGCCATTGGGATTTTGTATGAGGCCAAATGGTTATTAATAATATGAGACATCAGTATTTCATTAAGAACTACCATATAACTAATATATATCAGTCCTTATTAAATATTCATGTGTATGATTTTGTAAAATGGGTTTTTGGTCCAATGAAAACACCATAAGTATTGCAGTTTGTTTTGGTCCAATGCAGAAAACCATTGCCTTACCGTACAGATTAAATGGGGAACTCGTGGGCTGTAAGTATCGAACACTCGAAAAGAAGTTTTGGCAGGTGCTTTCCGTTTTCTTATTTTAGGATATTGATTTTTTATGTTTTAAATTTTTTTTGTCTAGTGTATAGAAAGAGTAAAGAAAATATACCATTTATCCCGAATATTTGAAAAGAAATATACATTTATTTAATCTTTCAGGAAAAAAAATACGGAGAAAGTGCTTCACGGACTTGATGACATAGCTGGTTCGGACGAGATTATAATTGTAATTTATTCTATTCGCGTACTGCCACTTTTGATAGGTTCATCTCCATTTTGGTGCCTGATTATAGTTTTTTCGACTAATGTAAGGTTGAAGGTGAAATAGACAAACTATCTGTTGAAGAAGCTGGTTTTTTCAACTGTGTTAGTGTTCGGTGTTCCAGGTGGCGCACCACAAACAGTTTCGCCCAAAGAGGTTCCATCTCCAGATAAGGTTTTTTAGTCGAGGGCATTTAATTATCCAATGTTTGTATTTTATTTATTGGTATAAAATTATAAAGCTTAAAGTCTGATTTCATCAGGACACCGGCTTTAAGTACTTACGGAATTGCAGAGAGTATCTCGACAAGGTTAGAGAGATAAATCACAATGCATACATAATATATATGGCACATATAAGACGATATTTATATATATTACATATATTTTGTATCGTTATCATGCGTCTCGAATTATACTGGAAATTGATTGTGATGGACCGGGCGATGCTTTAGCTGAAGAGCTTGCTCGTCGGCTTGAAAGAGAGAGGTTTGTTATCGCTTATGAGCATAATTTGGAGCATATAGCATCATTCTGTGAAATGTTTGGCAAAATTGCATTTAAGTCATGTTGGTTAAACGGAATCATAGTAATTTTAGTCCCAAGGTTTGAACATAGTCTTTTGGTTCTGTAATTTAATATTTTGCTGCAATTTCAGTCATTCGAAAACTGAAAGTACAATAGAATTTTATATTTTAGGACTGAAATTGCAACAAATGTTAAAATTATAACACTTAAATTGCTAATCGAAAATATGGAAATTCAAGAATTTGTTGCAATATAAGTCTTCAAAAGACTAAATTGCAGCAAAATATTGAATCGCATGACCAAACGGCGAAGAGTTGGAACCTTAAGTTTAAAATTGCTATAGCGTTAAACCAAAAAGACCAAAAATGCGTTTTTTGCCAAAATCTTTTCAACTTCACTCTCATTTTCCTTTTTTTTAATGTATTTTTCTTTTTCGGTTTCTGGTGGATCTTAGGTGTTGGCGTGTACATTGGCCCAAGAAAGGGGAAGGCAGCTCGCTAAAAGATGCAAATGAGGTCTGATATTATTATTATTATTATTATTATTATTATTATTATTATTATTATTATTATAAATGATTAGTACACATTCTGCTTACTAATCTTTTATGCTGTGATTATTTACTACTGATCTTTATTTAGGTCCTCGTGAATCTTGGCGTGGAAGCTCTAAGAGATGCGATAAAAGATGCAGAATTATGTGACGCGGATAACTTGAGCAATTAGCCGGTAAAAATCACTGGTTTTTTTACAGAACGGGGGTGATTTGTCGTAATGATGCAGAATTATGTGACGCGGATAAGTTGAGCAATTAGCCGGTAAAAATCACTGGTTTTTTACAGAACGGGGGTGATTTGTCGTAATGCGAATCTTAGCAAGACGAGCTTCTGACTGATAATTCTGAATCTTCAGTATCGTTTTCGAAAAGTGAATGTTCGATTGTGTTCTGTCTGTGGATCGATTACAATATATGAAGGATTTTGGATCATTTCACTGATCAGTGTTACTTTTTTTTCCTTAATTATTCATGTTACTATTACTGTTATATTATTTGTGTTTTAGCTAATTTTATTATTTTAGTTTCCCAGTGTTTGATTGAGTAATAATTAGTGCCATAACCTAACGAGCCAAATTTGAGCATTTTGAACACGGATTATGTACCATCGTGGTTTGTATTTATGTATTTTGATTAAAAAATTATTATTATTGAATTTGATCGCTATTTGTATTTATGTATACTGATAAGAAAAATATTATTATTGAGTTTGCTTATTTAATAACTAGTACGAATCACTGTAAGAGATATTCATTAATATTTATCAATTGAAATTTTTTAAAAAATAATATTTATAAATTAAAAATTTGGATCAATATACAATACATTTTATCTATATTAATTTATAGAAAATGTTATATGAAATTTAAATTGTACAAAATTACATAAAACATATTATCTATTTAAACTAATACACAATTCGTACGATGCATGTAACTACTAACAAATTACATTTTGTTCATTTCAAAATAGAAGTCATTTTAAAATTTTTATTGATTAATT